CTGATTTTACTGCTGCAAATATGTATGCATATGTATTTATGTATGTGTCTTTTCGTTGTATTTGACTTAACTTTCTGCCGTTTCTTTTGGGCTAAAAAAAGGGGAAGAAAGACAGAAGAAGAAACTGCCAGCAGCCAGGAAGCGAGTCTCTTTTCGTTTTGTGTCTCGTGCAAATCAAATAAAAGTAAAACTTTGCTCATTTGTAGGCCGATGAATTTTGCGGTGCGTATGTACACATAACTCTCTTTCTCTTTCTGTCTCTGTACATTTATCTTTGTATCTTTGAAGTTGTCGAGTTGGAAGAGTTACAAATTACGAGTATTTGCCATAAAAATATCAACACAATGCTCGCGACAGCGAGCGGCTAAAAATATGCTTTTAATTTTATATGCATAACAAATTTATGTAAAGTACACGGCCGCGTAGCCAGGTGTCCCCTGTACCTGTACCTGTATCTGTGTGTGTGTGGGGGTTCGTCTGCCGACCGAGCGGCTCATGAAATTGCTTACTAGGTCGTTGATATGCCTCCAACTCAGGCCTAGCCTACGTGCGGGCTAAATGTGTGGCATTCAGACAGACTCAGCGGCAACACAGGAGTCTAGTAGATATATGGAAAGTGAATTTTGATAGATGATGAGTGTAGGCGGGGCATGCCGCTGATAAATGTATGTATCCTCGGGGTTCTACTTTCAAAATGCTGCTGGCGGCATATGTGATTTATTTTGCCAGCTGTGTCGGCGGATTTTGCAGCACATTAAAGTATCATTAATGAAATGCCAAAAAGCCGAAAGAATGAAGAATTCCCATGTCTATTTATGAATATGAATGTTGCAAATGGCCCAATTAAACAACGGGCCAACATAGGCCACATTACTAGCTCATCCGTGCTAAGATTCTGGCCTCGCCTTCTGCCACAAAAGGGTAATCCCTCAAAAATTGATGCTAAGCTGCGAGGCTTAGAGCATGATCCGGATCCCCCACATTCAGACAGCACAGACAAAACGCAGAGAGAAGCTCTTAATAGATGCGGCACAGTGCATGAGAGGAAATCACGAAAGTAAATCCCAGCTTGAGCTCGAGCTGTAACTGGAATTGAAGCTGACAGAGTCTTATTCGAGTAGGAGTGTGTGCTGTATGTGTTTAACCCCAAAAAAGCACTTAATTAGCAGCCTTGACTTTCAGCCCAACCCAACCCATGTTTGGAGCTGGCTTTAAAGGGCAGTCGACACTGTGCCCCAACAGGGGACGGGGCAGTGAAGGGTGTGTCTGCTGGAGTGGCTCGAACAAACTGCAGAGGCAGCATATTTTTGCTCTTTGCTTTGCTGGAATTCTGTGCAAATAAACACACAATTTTAATTTACTTTTTGCTGGCTTTCCACAGTCCTCTGCCCTTGGAGCTGCTTCAGCGGGGAGCATTTTTTCTCATTTGAAGTGAAATCGAGACAGGTCGAGACCAGGGCCAGAACAACCTTTGCCATCGCTCTGAGGTCGTAGTCGTCGTCGTCGTCGTCGTCGCCTCTGCTGCTACTTTTTGTCTTGTGCTGAATTTTTAATTTGCCTGGCAAACAGTGCGCTGAAGAAAGCCAGGGAGCTCGAGAGAGAGCGTGAGTGAGTGCTGCTGCTACCTTTCGCTGATTTGATGAAGGTCGTATTCAGGCAGCAGCCAGGGCAGCCCCACCATCACCAGCAGCAAGTCTCAAGTCTCGAGTCTGCACCGGGAAGGAAGGTTAAGTGCAGAAAGCTGCTTCTTGGGGTTTCTTTATATCTTTTTGTTGGTCGAGTGTGCTACAAATTGAAATATTTTTGCCTGCTTGTCCCTGCTGCTATACCCTGTAATTGTATGCAAGGCAGAAGGGGTTCAAATGCAGTCTGGATTTACCCACAAAAACTGTATCTGTATGCTGAATGCTGGCCATATAAAGATAAAAAGAGCGTTCCTTAGTCCAAACACTACAAAGTTCCGCTCTTGTCTGGCTGTTGCTGTTGTTGTTTCTGCATTGTCTTGTGTGTTGCATTTTATTGTGGCATTGAGCATTCTGTGGCAGCTGGCTGACACGCATACATAATCATTTGCATTACTTATGGGGAAGTGTGAGCTGAATTTAATTACAATTTTAACTGCTGTAAATGCACAATGCACCAGGGAAGGCAGGGACTATTGATAATGCCGGCTGCTCGTGGCCAACGGCACGTATACGCAATAACATTAAATTGGCATTGGCGGCACTCTAAAAATATGGCCACACTCAATGCAACAGCAGCAACAGAAGGAGCAGCAGTAGCAGCTGAGAACGAAGCACAGACTCGAACTGTAACTGAAACTGAAAATGAAACAGAAACAGAAACATAAGCGGAGTATGGGACCGTGGTGGAAGCCGTTGCAGCAGGAAAAGAAGAACTGCTGGCTGACCCAGTTTGACTTTGGCTTCATAACTAATTCACGCACACACGTACGGTGCCCACTCACCCTCCCGCTCCCGTGCAGCATGTCCAGTACATAAAACATTGTGCTACATGGACCTTCAGGCACCTGGGCGCGTTGTGTGCACGGCACACGGCACACGGCACACGGCGTGTGGCATGCGGCATGCGGCGTACGGCTTCGAATTGGATCGGAATGGGTCGAGCATAGCGTCGGGTCGGGTCGGGTCGGGTCGGTTCGAGACTCGACGCTCGACTCGACTCGGGGTGTTGCAATATAATTAAGGTGGAATAACTTACGAGTGTTTGTGTGTGGAGTGAAGTGTCTGTTGCGTTTAAAATTGATGCGATTTAAGCGTAAGCGTGTTAGCAACAGAATTGGAGATCCTCTTTAAGGCTTTAAGCTGTAAGCACTCGGACTGTGCACTGGGCCAAGTTCTCCCAGCCAAATATTAAATATGAAATTCCCTTTTACAACTGACCAATTTATTTATCTCTTTTTGTTTGCATACATGTGCCAGGGATAAGGAGGGCAAGCAATCCAAGGAATAACGAAAATTTTATGCTGATTAAAATCGTATGTCATGGCTCAGTCCAACGACAGACAGACAGAAAGATTCGACAACTCAAGGAGGCACATCCGTCGTGGAGGAGGACATCGTCATCCTCGATGGCCACTAAAGGAAATTTCCCATTCAAATGCGAATTCGAACAACTTGTGTACATTCGTGCAAACTCAATCTAAAAGCTATATACATAAACTGCAAGATGTTCTCCAAGTTCCACACGTTTGTCTGTGTCCGGGTCTCTGTCCGGGTGCTCGTGTCGCAGGACGAGACGACCATATCCAGTGTATGCCAAGCATATGTCCATGTAACATTGTTAGGCGAAGAAGGGTGGAAAAAAGAGGCAAGCAGCTTACATAGAACGGAAATTTTTATGTCCCTCAACGTCAAACTCATTGCAGCATGGACTATGTCCTTTTTTCAGTTGGTCTTTCCCTTTCCTGTTTTGTGTGCTTTTTGGTTGGATCCTTTCACCGTTCGTCGTTCGCTTTCTTAACGTCCAATCGATTCTGTAGTGCTCTCTCGACCTGCGTTTCACTCAAAGCGTCTGGCATATTGAGAGCATCGTTTAATGACTAATTTGCCCTGTCTGTTCGGGCCCAGTCAGCCAGTCAATCACGCTTGTTGCATAATCCACTTGCTTTTAAAGCATTTTGCATTTGTGATGCACAATTTACCATTATTATACGAGTACGAGTGCCCCTTCCGCCCCTCCAGCCCCAATCCCAGCTCCATTGAAGTGGAGAGCCAGGCGGAACGAGTCGAACCCAATCGATATTGGTGATTATTTAATAAACTCAATTACGAGCCACGGCCCACGGGCTATTCCGCTACCTTAACCAGCCAGTGCGTATATTGATTCGATTCCTCCTGCCTCTTTTTAGAGTACTTCTGGGGTTAATGCACGCGAACCAATTGAATGTCCGTCATAGTTATTTCAGTTATCAAGCCGGAAGCGGATGCAAACCCTTCAACTTTTCCTCTGACATTTGTAATTTGTTGCTAATTTGACGTCTACAAACAATTTCTTTTTAAAGCAGAATTTGGTTGCCCAAAAAACTTTTCCGCGCTCCCGGGCTGGACAAACTTTTTTACAGCTGCACCGACGGCAAACGGCCAGCCATCGGCTGTGAGCATGAGCAAAAAATTGCAATTAAATGGTCTGCAATGGTTTTTGGCCACGAGCCAAGGGCCTACGGGTATTGGCGAATTATTTATACTTATGTATATGCAAATCCTATTTTTATGCATTTCAATAAAATGTCAATTCCATTCTGCCTTTGACAGTTGCTAGCTCTTTTTTCGTGGGCGTGGCAGAACACTGTTTTCTTGGAATTTCATCGAATGAAAGTGCGTCAAGTGCACATGCAAATCTATGCCTGAATGCACAAGCAGCGGACACGCCAAATGCCTTACACAGCGTGAGGATGCATTCATGGTATTCATTTCCTATCAAACTAGCCAAAAACTGCACCCTGCAAGGTTAAGTAAAACTCCCTTTCTTGCTGCTGTTTGTTTATGGTTGCTGCTGCTGTTTAGGACACGTAGCAATACACACACACATGCAGCCACCCCCCTTGCTCTCCGCTTGACTGTCTGTCTGTCTGTCTGTGGCACAGAGTCCCACTACAGATGCCAGACAATAAAATGGAAAACAAACCCTCAATCCAAAGTGAATTTAAATTGTTTTACAGCTGACGTTTGCTTTGAATTTCAAATTTTTGTTTCCACACGTTGCCAGACGCCCTCCGGCTGGAGGCACACCAAGCCCAACCGCAACCCCGACCGGACCCGACTCGACCCACTGCACTGTTGCAGCTGCCTCGAAAGGTCATTGTGTTAATTGGAGCGTAAGTTCTGATATCTTTCACTATCTATGTCTATTAACAGCCCTCTGGGTGCTCTTTTCTATTAATCTCCAGCGAGGCGTTAAATATCGTTTGGCAATTAGACATCGGGGCAGCCAGCCACTCGAGGGCAGCCATTTTTAGTGGCACTATGAATAGCACTTACCCGATCGTCCGATGGCCAGATCCGTTTCCAAGGCCGTGGTGGCCGATGACAGGGATTTGTCGGTGGGCAGCGCTGCCGGCGGCATGGGCAGTGGACCCACTGTGGACGTGGTGGTCAGGTCGCAGCACTCCCGCTCGGGGAACTCGCTGCAGCGTGCCAGATGCAGGGCGCCCCCGAAGAGCGTCACCCACACGCTGAGCCAGCAGCAGGAGAGGATTTTCAGGTTCTTGATGCGAAAGCGGGTCATGTTGTGGCTGTTGTGTCCACCTCCTTCTCCTCCCTCCTCTCAGCTTGCTGATGATTTTTCTGGATTTCCTGCTGCTGATTATATTCGTATTTGTTTGTGCCTTTTTTAAGCGCTGTCGCTGGCTCGATGTAGCCTCTTAAACACTCTGTTTTTCGCGTCGTTTTTGGTTACAGTTTTTGCGAGACGCGTGCATTTGAAGCAGCATCGAGACTACGAGTATTGTGAACAATACGATTATTTCCGGTTGGTTTCGACATTTCCGCTTGTGTATTTGTGGCTGGTATTTGTTTATATTTTACTTTTTGCGCACTAAAATAAATTCACGAATTGAAAACCAACCAGATATCCGGGTTGACTTTAAATGTAAGAATCTGTTTGCCTTGGCAAACCGAAGGAAAACTGGGCAACTGTAAACTGTTGAAGTGGGTGCAAGGGCAAATATTGACAACCAGAGAGCCACAAAGGAGGCGGGTCGGGGTAGGCAGCGGAGCCGAGAGTCGGCAGTCAAACTATGAACAGCATTTACAATTACTTTCGACAAAAATGTACGAGTACTCGTGTATAGACAACAATAGACATAATGCAGCAATAACGACAAATACATTCAACCGCCAAACGAAAGCAACGAGACAGGCAGCAAAAAAGAGACAGAGACAGAGACAGAAAGAGAGAGCCCAGCGAAGGCTGAGGGACAGCAGCAGCAGCGGCGGATCCGCCCACTGCAAACACTGAATAACATAAAAACTTTTTCATTTACAATTTGCTCGGTGGGTCTAGGGCCAACAAGGAAGGCGACCAACAACAGCAGCAACAACAACGGCAACGGCAACGGCAACGGCAACAACAACAGCTTCAACCGAGTAACAAGAAAATGTGGAAAAGTTTTGGGTAAATGCGAAAAGTTGTTGCTGGCTGCTGTCGCAAGTGCTGCGGTTTTTGCACCGCTGAGTCGCTGCGGCCGCTATCTAAATCCGGATTGTCGCTGGCGTATGCGCAATATGCAAAATGTAAACTGCTAAATGCAAGTCTCTCTCTCTCTCTCTCTCTGTCTGTCTCTCTGGCTGCTCAAATTAATTCACTTTGCTACTTTAGCCAAGCTTTTATCGAGCAAATCGCACTGAAATGTTTGCCAAATCAATAGAAATATAATTTGCTGCGATTTGGCTCAAAGGAAAAGGCAAACACTCGAGTGTGCTGCCAGAGAGAAGTGGCGAGAGAGGCAAGAGACTGCAACTGGCTCTGGGACTAGCAAACACTCCTGTGCACAATCATGTAAACATTCTGAGGCGACAGACGACCGACGACAGTCGACAGGCAAATGCAACACGCATCTTTTGGGTGGCGGCAAGCGACGCGAAGCCCGGGGCCGGCGAATAAACTCCGGGCAAAATTATTACCAAACAGCGGCAGGAAGGCGACGGAGACATGTTGCACAGCACTGTCAATCACTGAAGGAGCAAAGGGAATGGATGCGAGGGCAGAGGCGACGAAAGTTGCCAGTCAACGGAGCGAAATGCAGGCAAACACAGACGACAGACGACAGACGACAAACGCTGGGCGCCAGGCGCCAAGGCGTTCTCTGCATTTCCCTTGTTGTTTCTGCTTGAAATGATTTTTTGCGCCATGCCCACAGTTGCCCCAGTCCGTGCCCCTGGCCCTGCCACCTCCACCATTTTTTTTTTGCCCTAGCGAAATATAACGAGAAGATGCATTGCATTTTTTTATACATTTTGTTTCCATGTTGCTCCCCTTGCAGCGCGTTGGTCGCCGCCGTTTGAGATATGTTCGCCGTCGTAGCCGTCGCCCGCCATCTCCGTCGTCATGGCTGTCGTTCGCTTTTGAGCCAAAGTGTTGCCATAACGAGCGTAAAATGGCGGCAAAAAGACGACGCGCAGAGACAACATGAGGCTCGGAAGCAACGGCTTCCAATCTAAAAACAAACAGCAGGCCCAGCCCGGCCCAGTCGCCAGCATTCCCTCTTTTTGTGAGCGAGTGTGTGAAAAAATAACGAAGCGAAAATTGAAACTAAAATAAAGCCATGTTTACCTCACAAATTGTTACCTTTGCCGCTGCCTCCGACCCCAGACCCCGGACCCTAGCTCCCAGTCTCCGTCTCAAAGTTTATTTATTTAAAGTTTCAACTTTTTGCATAAGTTATCGTTACGGTTGAGGTCTTTGCCAAGTCCTGGCTGGCGGCGGCAGCTGGTAACCGTTTGGGGCATGTGTAGCATCCAGCAATTTGGATGGTAATGTGCAATAAATAAAGCAAATTAAAGAACATAGACTCGACCACACGCAGAGGTCAATTTTCGAGCCAGAACATACCTACACCACACCGGAGTACCCTCCGGAGCGGGCACAGTCCTGTGCAGCTGTGCAAATATGTGTGTCAATGGCCCTGGGTTTCGGGGCCAGTCAGCGTGAGCCAGCTTAACATTTAAATATCCTTTTACCCTTGGCTAGCAGTGCCAGTGCATATACTCGAGCTTTACTCTGTCTGACCAAACAAGCCAATAAATGTACCACAAATTTGTATGTCAACCAGTGAGGCACTGCATTGACACACTTGGCCGGTCTCCGGTTTGGAAAATAGAGAATGCCACATGCCTTTCACATGCCAAGCCGAAAATTCGATTTAAATTGGAATTCTTTGGGTCTTAAGTCCATCTTTTGGACACTGACTCTGCGACTGAGACTGAGACTGAGACTGAGAGAGAAAAAGAGAGACATTCTTGCATGCAACACTTTGAGAGGAATGCCAAGTATGCAGAGGCCAGAGCCAGGGCCAGGCCAAGTGCATTGAATAGAACGATAGAATCTAATTAGCCGCCTGTCAGTGTCACCATCATCTGAGCATTAGCATCCGCATGAGTATCTCATAAAAGTTACTTCTGTTACTGCGCTGACTCACTGAGTGACTGACTGGCAGTCAACAAAATTGCCGTGAAACTTTTCCGGGCCTGATATAATTATGTGCTGTTCTGTGCCCCATAACCATAACAAGCTGATACCGCCTCCGCTCCTCTGGGTGCTCTCTGTGAGAACACTATGAGGTTACACCTTGATGTCAGCCCCCCAGATGCAGTGTCGAGTGACAGTTGTTGTCTTCATCGTGCTGTCTGTGCATGACAAATGCAATTTGAGCGGCCCGAGCTACACTCACAGCCTCAAAGGCTGAGCTAAAGCTGGCAAAGGTAATTGTACTCAGGCATAAACATCATCCCAACACAACCAGAAAAAGGAGTAAAAGCCACTTGCGTTGAGTCGAAGGTTGAGATACTCTAGCAATAGCCTTACAAGTTAAGAAGGAAGCAAAGGAAATCTTTTCTTGAGTGGTCGGCAAACTTTTGAAGCACAAAACAGGGAAAACTCATCGTAATTTGTGACCAACTCGTATAAACTTTTCACTTTTAGAAATTAGCTAATTTTTTATGTGACTTTTATTCGAGTTTGATTTGAATCTCTCTCTTTTTCTCTCTGGCTCTCCTCTGTTTATGGCAAAAGTTGCTGGAGTTGGAGGACTGTTCGTCTTGCTGCAGCATGACTCCTCTCATAATTACATTCTAGGGCTCTAGATCTGTGATGCATTTTTAATAGTCTCGCTGGGCGACGGCCATGTGGCAGACAATCTAAGCGGTAATGAGTCCAAAAATGTTTGCCTCTCTCCTCTTCAAATGTAAAACTTATTTTGCCCTTTTGTTCGGAAATCAGTCACGAATTCAGCGAACTTATTTTGCGGCCTGTCTGTCTGTCTGTCTGTCTGTCTGTCAAGCACGCTTGCAGCACGGTCTCATGTATTATGTAAGGCGATTTTTATTGTTTGTGAAAGTTTAAATGCGGCTTGGAGGTCGCTGATGCTGCTGCTGTCTACCTGACTTGCCGCACCTGTCCTTCGCATGCCCCAAATCCCCTTCGGATTCCCTCTAATTCAATGAGAAATAAACAGGATAATTATATAAAAAACTTGGTCAGGCTGCTGGTGGTGGAGCAGTGGGAAAAACAAAGTCCAAATTTGGTCAACTTTGATTTGATTCTGGAGCTAAACATCCTTGGACTAGCTGTAAACTTTGTCCTTTCCGGTGGCGGGGCTGTTTGGAAAAGTTCAGCCATAAAATGACATCCACTAATCGGGAACTCGATTGATTTTTCCACGTGCAGACAGGCAGCAAAAAGTCAGGCACTTGAAAATGAACTCGTGTCTGGCATCTTTTTGCCGGGGCTATTTATATTTATGCTTGCCATTTTATGACTTTAATTTATGAGTATTGATTTCAGAGCCCTCATATCCCCCATCCCTGCCTCTGTCGTGTGTGACTGTCTGAGAATCGAAGCAGGTGCAGGGCTTCGGAGACACACGAATGTGCTGCGAGTACTTGAAGGTAGGACGTGGAGCAGCCCCGGAATGGGTTGGAAAATTGAATCAAACATTTAAATTATACGTCTGGCTGGGGTAGTAGTATTGGGTCGCAGTGGGGAGAGTGTGTGCCACCCCTCTAATTGCCCTCATTTGATGTGACGCACACGACCGAAGACAAAGACAGCTTTGACCTTTTCGATTTTACAATTTTGATCTATCGATCTTTCGAGTGTCTGTCTCTTTGTGGTATTTGCTGAAAGGGCAACCAAGACATGGCCAATTAGTACGATTACGGACAGTAGAAAGAGTGGGAGACATTCGTGAAAGTAGTCAAAAATGAAATTCCACTTGCATCATTAATAAAAGTCGTTGCAAAAGTCGAGCAGTGTACGCAGGTTAAAGGCATAATCCAATCGACCAGTAAAGCATATACATATGTGGCACACACACACGCGCGGTGTCGGTCATACCCGAGGGACTTGGGCATGGACCTGGCATTAGGATAATGGATGATTACTGAGAAACGTGTGCCCTGGCCTGGCCTGGCCTGAGCTGGCCTGTCCTGTCCCGGCTTTCCTTGGCGTGCGCCACGGTGCCATTTACATGCAGCAGCAACGTTACTCAAAGTCATGTTTCGGTCTAAGGTTTCACTGAACGCACACACGGGGAGATCTCTATGGCAGTATATATGCATGTAAATATGTATTCATGTATGTATGGATACCTCCCCTACATAAAGTCAATTTCGTGTACAATTTTATTTGCATACAAGAAGTGCAAGACAGAGGGCAGTGGGGCGGAGACCTGGTGGGACCAGCTAGACAAGCCAGAGACACACTTAGACACACATTTGGCTCGTCCTCGTCTTATTGCATGTCTTGCAATTTATTTGTCTGCCCTTCCAGAAACACCCCCAGACCCAGCCCGAGCCT